ATGCTGCAATTTCAGAAGATTTTCCCCGTAACACAATATTATAAGACATGAGGCTATAAGCCAGTGCATAATATACATATATTGATAATCGTGTTTTCATTTAAGAAATCTCTCAGTTGAAAAATGGCAGAATATGTTTTACTTACATTTTTACCTACGTAATCTACATGTTCATGAAGACTTAGTTTACAATCAAAATCTGTGTTATATCACTGATTTCTTCAAGTAGACCGTGCTGCTACCGAGAGCACATATAAAAATGAAAGAATTTAAACATTCGAAAATAGGTGAATGTTGGACAAAAATTTCAAAATTGCACACATTTGGCATTCAAAGAACGATCAAGTACTAAAATAAAATGGAAACTCTTGATGAAAGTCCAAAATATTCAAATGCAAACATATAGTTCTGATTAATTTGAAATTTGAGCTATAATCAGAGCCGACAGCCTCGCTTACATATCCTGATCTTTTTAAGCATCGACCACAATTTCTTCAATTTGAGGAAAGCTGCAGGCACATGGTTCAATCAATGTGTATCTATTAACAAATAATAACCAGATATTGTTTAGTATCGTTGTCCTACATCAGTTCCCAAGCGCAGTGACCATTTATTACCCGCTGTTATTTAAATTTCAAGTAGCTACTCGGCAGTCGATGAGCAGTTTCCACTGGATAATGATACGTACCATACGCATACTGTATATTTAGTAGACCTTATAATGGAACGTGGGCAAGATGTAGAACATCAACAAACATTTTTTTCGTCAGTAATTATATGGACGTTATATAGCGGTGTTAGAAAGTATAATTTTCTATTATAAAGAGGTGTAATCATCCATGGTAGCTTGTAATTAACTCTAATACAGAAGCATCTATTGCAAAAAATCGACAGCCCTATAATTATTTCATTTTCACTTCTAGTTGACTAGCATAATTTTTTGCAGCTCAATGATAATAAAGCGTTAATATATGAATATGGGAATCCTCGTCAGCCACCGATTTTAGACATATTCTACCGAACTACCGATTTTAATGCGAAATCTGGAGAAAAAAATCACAAATAGTATATTTCTAATATAATTCAATGAAACACAAGAGAAGGACACTTTGTCCCCCCCTGCTTCTCAATTTTCGATTTAATGCAACTCAGCGCTCTACAATTTTTTAAATAGGAGAATTTCACCATGTGATTCTTAACCTCCCCCGCCATCAGGCTATCCAATATTTCGAAAACCACCATTTCTGTATTTTATCTCTCCCGAACGCTCTTCAATTTTCAAGATCGACTGGAGCACAAGCAAAATGCCCTTCAATTTTTAATCACCGACAAGTTTTGGCTTTTTGACCGAAATCTACCAAAAAAGTGTGTTCATCTAGATCCTAGTCGCGCAACAGATTTTGGAGATTTTTTATTAGTCGTTTTCCGACGAAGTAGAATTCTTTCCAGTATCATTATCATCAACCCAGAAAAGCGTAATAAAAGAATGGTTGGGCTTACCTACCTGACAGACCGATTTTTCTAGTTTTGGACCAAAATACTTGGTAACTAAAAACTTAAAATGGGTTCAAATGGGTATTTTGGAACACCCAAACCGAAGCTGATGCCATTTCATTTATGTATCTCTTTTATCATGTATTTTGCACAAAACAGGTCGACTACACCTGGCAACACCAGGAAATAGGAATTGACTTTTTACTCAGGTTTCGGTTAACTCGGTGGCCTTTTTCAAAGTACAAATTGAAAATTGCCAATAACAACATCTTGATATTGTAACACCCTGTATAGTGCGTATTAGCACATATTAACAGATGCGCTAGGCACTCTCGACTCCTTTGATCTGCCTGTCCCCAACTGTTTGACGCGCTCCTTACCTAATTCCATGGGCGTCCGGGAATTCTTTTCTCACGGACGGTTACTCCATTCGCGTGACGTCACGAATGTATACATCAAACTATAGAGCTAAGAAATTTATAATTTGCCCATCAGCATTTAAGCGAGATATATTTTGGTAATTTAATTTCATAGCTAACGTTTGCATATGAGATAATTTTAAACACCACGCCTGCAATACGTCGCTTAGTTATCCCGGCTGCTTGTTAAAAACAATTTTTTGAAAAATAACAGAAGTGGAAAAACTTTTAGAATGAAATTTTACATAAAGTAAAGTGATTCCTTATGTCCGCCAACATGTTACATTTCAAGGGTGCATGATCTCTTTTCAACTCTTTAACATACTTCAATTGAATCTAAAATATATACCAAATTTGCTTTGTCTATGTTCAAGAACAAGTGAGATGTTAGTCTTTCTTAGAAAAAAACTCTTTTACGGTCTAAAATTTCTCAGGGATGCAATTTTTACTTACTCACAATATTTTGGATTCCTCTACATGCCCCTGCAGTGTGTCGGCTCTTATGCGAAACACCCCGTATATTCGCAAGATTCCTTAAATCAATTTACGCTGCGAGTTAGACTGCATATGCAATAAGCGAATACAGGAGGCACCAGTAAGATAGCTATAAATAGCGGAAAGTACGGAACATTCCACAAAAGCTAATGATCCACCTAAGAACAACGAAATCGTCTAGAATTCCCCTTACATCTCAACCCATTTGCCCATGCACCGTTGCCAATTTCGAAACTTCTGTGTAGGCGAAGCTCCAATTAGCATGCGAATTTTAGTTACGTCTTCTTGGCAACGTAGGGCCGGATTTGAATAGTTAATTTCTCTCGAAAATAGCATTATATTATGGTATTACAATATACGTTTACTATGTCGTGGCCATTTCGCATAAATGACTATTTCATAAAATTATCGATCATTTCGCGAGATGGTCAACTTAATTTTAACAATATGGAAAAAAGTCTATTTAAGAATAAAGTTGTTGTTTGTTTGTCCATACATGTTTTTCTATCAAAAAATATTAACTGATATTGTGTTGTTTTATTTGAGTACCTGATAATATTTTAATTCATATTCGCAAAATATTCGCATGGAATTTGTGTATGCGAACACGAAGGAGAATATCAATAAACGTGCACATATACGCGAATGCGAGTATTCTTTACGTCCTTAATACCACTTTATTGAAAATAAACATAGTTTAAAGAACTTTGAAAAAAGGTTTAGTAGCAAGCAAACTAATACTGATATTGAATGTTGGCTGTTTTTTAGGATACAGTAATGACAAAAGTATGTAGTATTCTGAATACAAATATCGAATTAGGATTCCGCATACATCCTAGTCTGTCTAAAAATATACAGTAATGGATAAAAGTATATAGACAAATATGAATATTCACCTAAATACCTTTAGAAAACGAATTCATACTTCATTGCTCCAAAAACAAATGCGTTATTAGTAGAAAAACTAAATTCCTTGATTTTACATTATCTGCAATGAATACAATACAAGTCTGAATATAGACACTTTTTTATGAGTGACTTTTCAACATTAGTTTAGTACAGTTTCGTGTCAGAAGAGGATTAGTTTGTGTTCATCAAGTATTGTGGAATAAGTTGAGTAATTTTAAGACCATGCAGCGTGGTCCAGAAATTTATTTCGATGTGAAAACTAAGATCATTGAGTTATACAAAGATGGTCAACGTCAAGTCGACATTGCCAAAAATTTGAAGCTGCAGCGTAAAGCAGTTTGGGCAATATTGAACAAATATAAGCAAAAAGGTATCTTGCAAGCCTCTAAGAAAAGTGGTCGGCCTAGAGAACTAAATGCTAGATCGATCACTTAGATTAATAAAAGTAATTTCGTCCAAAGATCCGTTTAAAACCCCAAGACAAAGAAAAGCCAAAATCGAGACAACAGGAATTGCCAGTGTTTCAACGAAAGCTATAGGTAGAAGATTAAATGATTTGAAGTAATTTGCACGTCGCCCGAGTACGAAGCCGCTAATCTCGAGGAAGAACCGTCAGGACCGATTACAACTAGCTCGGTTGCATCTTGATTGGAGCATCTGTGACTGGAATAGGTTACGTTTCAGTGACGAATCCAAGTTCAATATGTTTGGATCAGATGGAGTTCATTACGTTAGACGTCCTAGTGGACAAAGATTGAACCCCAAGTACACTTTGCCCACTGTCAAACATGAAGGCGGGTCTGTTATGGTTTGGGGATGCTTTTCGGGGTTTGGGATGGGACCTTTACATAGAATAGATGGCATTATGGATAAGTTTGTATACACAGACCTACTAAAGCATATCATGTTACCCTATATGGAAGATAATATGCTCTTAAGATCAATCTTCCATCATGATAACGACCCGAAGCACATTTCAAATCTCGCAAAGAAATTCTTTCTGGAAGAAAAAATAACAGTTCTCAAATGACCTTAACAGTCTCCCGATATAGTCCCCATTGAAAATCTATGGGAATACTTAGATAAGCAAATACGAGATAAAAATTATTCAAACAAGGATGAACTTTTTGCCGCTTTAGAGACAGATTGATGAATCTTATATCAAGAAACTTCTATAATCTATGCCGAGACGATGCCAGGCGGTGATTGATAATAATGGTTATGCTACAAAATATTAACCCAAACATGGTTGATTTTCTATAATTCAATGAACTTTGCTTCTTTTTTCTATAATTGTTTTGCTTTGTATATATATTTTTGTCCTTCATAGTTCCAGTTATTTTAAATTAATTTTTTATTGAAGGGAGTCTAATGAATTTATTTATGTATAAGTGAGTATTATGCTATAACGAATTGTGTATATAGGTTGGTGTATTAACCCATTAACGTCCAAATTAAACTTGAACATGGAAAACGGATATTATGCATATAAGGTAGGTTATTAGGACTAAAATAAAAACTGAAGATCATAAAACCATATATATTTTATTATTTTTACCAAAAAAACGTCTGTACTCATTTGAGTACAATGGGCGAAACCGTTTATTTTGTATGAAGCAGGCACGTTCAATACGTAGTGTTGACGAACCCTTGAATCGCATACTGTACATCATAATTGCTTCTCTAGCTTCGCAGGAAAGTGTCCGAATTTATGAAGGATTTCATTTCTTCCTTGGTGTCGAGTATTTTAAGATGCATATAACACTGATCGACAATATGCCGCAAAACCGTATCATCAAAGAAAAGTTCAAATAGTTGTACTGGATTTAAATCCATTATCTCTTCCACTAGTTTATCCCTATTAGCATTCATTTCGCATAAGGCTGGCGGCTCAGACCAAATGGAATATTCAGGATTGCATTTCTCCCAGTCCAAGTCATCGTGTTTAGATTGATTTAGGTATTTGTATACGTTTTCGCACTTCACTCAAATGCTCTTCGTCGCTGCTTCAGAACTCGTCATTAGCTGAACTTTGGCGAAACAGCTATAAACGACCAGAAACATCTTGTGGCATTCCATTTGCCATCAGCTACTTTTCGTCCAATTCCTCCTCGTCAGTCAAATAACGCGCGTCTGGAGGCAAGACCGCAACATCATCGTTATCTTTTAAATCATCTCGAGCATCAGGCAGAAAATTGTAATACTCATATGTTTTAACAGGATCATCAAAAAACGGTATATACATATCTAAAACCAAAAAAATAGCATTAGTCGACTGATAACGAATTTTTCCAGTGTACTCATTTGAGTACAGTCAAACTTGAACATACATTCTAATTACATCAAATCAGTTAAAATAATTTATGCCCGGCAAATCAAACAAACAACCGTTACATATACATAATATAAAAAGATTATGTTTTTTAGATGGTCACCTCAATAAGAAAAAATTATGTAAAATCCTAACTTACCTTAGATCAAATAAGCAATAACTTATTACTGTAAACAACCACACACTCACAGAATTTATGAAAAATGACTCTTGCGCCCTGTCGCATGTACCATCTACAAATGTTTATAAAAGGCAGTACTTCTGTGGTTGACTCGGAGATGGGTCTGATAGGAACAAACACAAGTGTACTCGCTTGACTACAGCGGGCGTTAATGGGTTAATAAAACAAGTTAAAAAAGAAGTACAGCACAATATTAATTTGTCTAGATACATTTGTCCATTACTGTATATAGGCAAATTAATGAATTATTTCATTATCAATTTTAAGCTATTACGAACAAAAAACGTTGCAATTTGTGATGGATTGCAACCTCACCGCTCCTGTAAAATGTGATATTAGCATCTTCTTATGCTTAAGTCGGCATTTGATGAGCACAACCTGAACTATTACTTTAGAAAATTTCGTTAACATTGACCGATGGTCAAATTCCATATATTTTTCGCTTGATACTTTGTTATAAACTACAAGTACTTTTCATCCATTAAGCAGCTTCTAATTCGGTCCTCAGACTACGAGTATTGCCGTTCTCTGGAAATAGTCATTTTGAAGAGTCGTAAATTAAAAATAACGAAACCGTCGAAAGACAAACTGCGACAGCCCAATGAATGTTTGCCTTCGGTACACGTCTTCACGACACTGGAAGTGCAGCCCCACTCCCCACCACGAATTAATCCGGACCTGTGGGCGCGTCATCCCAAGCCAGAGCCGAAGAAGTTGTGTAATACGCGTAGAAAACGAAATGCTTTTCATTTCTATGTACAAACAAAAAACAACGAAGTAATTCCAACAAGCACTCGCCTTGGAAGAAAGCAGCGTTCCGCTTGATTTGATCGTGCTTAGATGAGCGTTCCGCTCAGGTGCATTAAGGACGATTTTGTTTTTGTACGGGCAGCAGGTGAAAGAGAAATGGACTGTGGTGGCAGCTCACGCGATGTCCGGACGAAGATACAAATTTGTTTTTGGTCAGGGGCGGCGCAACATGTGCTTGAAGTTCAGCTTTTACCAAAGATAAAACTCATAATATATATATTTAAAAATCTACCATTAACGGAGACCACAGGGATCTTTTAAAATGTTTTGTAATTGTAATGTCCTTATTTATTTTATAATTATAAGTATTTTTCTGGCATATTTGCTCAAACGCATATATGACCCTCAAATTGATATTGTCAAGTCTTATATCATGTAACATGATCCAATAGGACAATAAACTATCTATCTATCTACCCGGTATTAAGATACGGACCTAGAGTTGTGTTCCAAGGCAAAAGCAAAAATGGCACTTTTATATTAGACAAGTGACTTAAAAATATACAGGGTGACTTTGAAGTTGAGTCATTAATTTTCAGATAATGATTGTAGAAGGAAGATAAACCAACATATGTGTGTAAAAATAAAAAAAAAATTAAAAAAAAATGTTACCTTGTTTTATAAAGTATCCTACCGACAAGTATTTCAGTGCGGACCTGTATTTGTTCGTGCGGTTTTGGAGCACCGGCATGCCCTCCCCTGTGAGGTCTTAAGTCACCTGATTCACGAGCCCTTTGTACTACATTAACAAAGGCATGAGGGGTTGGTTGCACTCGATTAAATAAGAATCATGTCCACAAGTTCACAAGTTCAGTATTTTCGTAAACATGTGCCATTTTTTATTTCGTTTGAACAACGCAACAAACACCACTATTCACTCACGCGTTACCGACTGTAACATTGACTGACATCGTGATAAACGTTTCAAATTCTTTAGCTTTTTTGTTTCCGATGCGATGAACCGATAAGGCGGATTATATCCGTTGTTGCCAAACACGAGCACATAATATTATTATTGAGACAGGGCGGTACTCAAACTTCTAAAGGGCTATAACTTTGTTAATTTAATTTTACCAGAAAAATGTTAAAGGAAAAAAACATTTCTTTTGATCAGATCACTGTTAAAATAAATGACTCAACTTCGAAGTCACCCTGTATATAAAAGAGTCAGCATCTCAGAAGACATACTTTGGGAGATGCTACAAAAGGACACCGTGGAATTAGGCCCACGAGAAATATCGAGGAAGACAAATCAGTGAAGCTGATTTTGACCAAAGTAGATCATCCTTCAGTCAGCCAGGAAAGCGATGTCAAATCCAGCCTCCCAAATTCAAGCATCCTGAGCAATATATCTCATGATGGTAATAATACTTTGCGAAAAGGTTTTATCCCATGTCCACCATCGTCCTCCACGTATTTCACCCCTTTCCTAAGAAGTAAATATTTTGAACGTATATAGGAGCAATGTATTATTGTTTTTTATCATTTATATATAAGATAAAGATTCGAAATTGATTGATATATTTCGAACAAACTATTATCTTAGCTTTGGAAGGTTTCCCAGATAAAAAGGATCCTTAAACCAGGAATGAACCCTAATTTAGCCGCCTCATATAGACCTATAAGTCGGCTACCGGTGCTCTCAGAACTAGAAAAACTATATATGAAGAGATTGCAGGAAATCGTTGACAAAGCTAAATTAATACCGGACGATCAACTTGGATTCCGGGAGAAACATGGTAACACTGAGCAGTTACATAGATTTGTGAATTAAATTGATGCAGATTTTAACAACGTACCCGCATTTCCCGATGTATCCCAAGCATTTGGCAAAGTTTAGCATCAGGCCTGTACTTTAAATTGAAACAGCTCCTCTTCCTAATTCCTTGCTTCCGAAATCGGACAAATAGGTACCACTATGTTAACCATGGTACTGAATCCACATCCATTGGATCTATCGATTGAAGACTCCCACAAGGAAGTGTTTTAGGACCCACTCTCAACCTACTGTAAACTGCAGATGAGGTGTGCATAGATACGCAGATGATACCTAGTAAAACCAAGTCTACACATGTGACATTCATCTAATGTAGGAAAGCCTGCCCACCAATAACCACCAATAATTCACAAATTCCACACTCTAATCATGGGAAGTATCTCTAAATTCATTTAGACTGAAGGCTCACATGGTAAATACACAACAGGAAGCAAATAGGCATCCAACTCAAAGAGATGTATTGAAGTATTTGTAAGAAATCTAAGCTGTTATTGGACAGCACGCTATTACTCTATAATGGTCTGTTGAAACCAGTTTGAACGTAGGGTGTAGAGATTATCGAATGATGAACTATACTACATTCCCAATGAAGTGATCCAGCGTGACATACCATCTAATGTGTTGGCAAATCGATTAAGTGTCTAATAATGGGCTAGTTAATAGTTTAAAGTGGCATTTGCCTCATGACATCAATGCAGTATCAGATAGAGTTGACTCGCTGCATGTCCTCGTTTATTAGTTTAGATTAGTCCGAAGGTATGTTTGTTGTTCATACGGGCAGACTGCTGCTTTATCTTAGAGTTATACAAAAAAACCAAAGATCGCAATGTTCGAGCTATAGACCATTCTTGGACACATCTTTCCACTGCGGCTCTCTCTCGGTCCATGGCTACCTTCTCAAGGCTCAATGGGAAAGCTGTTTTGCAGATTTCTTGCTTAAACCTTTGGACCGATTGTATTTCAATCTACTTCTTGTACAGATTATGCTTCAGCGTTTTGTCTCCATCTGTGTATACCCTGTTAGGTTAGGCTAGGTTAGGTTTCTTGTGAGTTCATCAATAACGATCCGCTACCGCGATTCTTTGGTCTATTGTGGCTCACACCTATTTATATTTCCCTCAGTAGCTCCGACCTCCTGAGGAGATCGTTTAACTTGTTTGGATTAATATCCTTCAGGTCTTATGCTTGGAGAGCTACGTCTCCAAGCATGTTATATCTGATTCTGGCAATTGCAGGACATCTGCACAATGCATGCCTGACCGTTTCATCTCCCTCCATGCACAGTCTGCACTCAGCGCCTTCCACCATGCCCAGCCTGCTCATGTGGTGATGCAATTTGCAATGACCAGTGTACAGTCCTAGTAGAGCCTTGAGGCTATTCCTGTTCAGCCATACCAAAGCGTCTGTTACCTTCTTCCTCAAGATTGGTATAGTTGCCATAGCATGGGTTAACCCTGTTAATCCCTCTCAATATTGATGGATCTTTCTGTCCATCTCTGCAAAGATATCGCTGGCTCAGGCCCTATGAAGGGTGTGCTAGCCCCACTCTTTGCCAGAGTGTCAGCTGTCTGGTTTCCCTCTAGACCTGTGTCCTGGTATCTATATGAGACCGACTTCATTTTCCTCCCCTATGCCACCGAGAGCTTCTTTGCAATTCCACACTAATTTTGATGTGGAGTAGGTGTAGTCAAGTGCCTTAAGTGTGGCTTGACTATCTGGAAAGATAATTATAGTATTGTGCCACAGTTGTCGTTTTGCGATCATCCTGGCACCCAGTTCTATAGCATATAGATCTGCCTGCAAGATCGATGCCCAGGTTCCTAGGCTAACAGGTTTTTTACTCTTTAGCTTCGGCACGAAGATACCAGTTCCAACACGCACCTCTGTCTTGGAGCCATCTGTGTATGTACAGATACCTTTCCTTATCAGGTTAACTTGCTGTTCTCACTTATTCCTGTGCAGAGTTGTCACTGAGTAGAGTTTAGCATATCTTGTTATCTTTGGCATTATATCACGAGGCATTCCCAGACTGTGCTGGTTTTGTATCAGCAGGTCCGTCTCCTCCATAGTGATATTGTCCATTATACCCTTTGCCACATGATAAATATAAAATGTCATTCTTGCCTCGTCTTCCGGGTATATGTGCAACGGCCGTAAATTAAGAAAGATCTCCATAACTGCAGTTGGTGTGGTATGAAAGACACCAGCGATCAACATACAAGCTTCTCTCTGTATTGCGCTCGGTTTGTCTTGGACAGTTCCTTGTGCTACAGATCCATAGGTTATCATGGGTTTAATAATCATGGTGTAAAGCCAAAGCATTTGCTTAGGCTTCATTCTCCAGTTATTCCCACAGACCCTGTACTTAACCTTGTTTACGAGACTAATATTCAATGATCAGCGTACAGTCCAACGAGAGCTTTAACAAGTCCTTTGTATTAGTTGAGGTATCTCCTGTTGTCCCCCTTTCCTCGGTAAAAGATGAGCCGTTTCACTTCATTTCTAGCCAGAATACCTTGGTATCAGGCGTACGGGGATTGTCATCTCATTTTGTATGCTACCCGGAGCTTCTTTGCCATTGAATGATTTGGATGAGTAATGAGACGAGATCATTTAGCGTTATCAACTATGCGAAACGATAATAGTTCTGCCCCTGTCAAGTTGCCCAATTCTCTAGTATTCAACTTAGGTGCCGCAGATCAGGGCCTGAGCAGATATTTTACCTTCGAATCGGGATCTATAGTAATATATTTGGAAAACTAATATATGTATATGATGGACGTTTTGGCGTAAGCTCAATTATTTGTAGGATGTCAAGTATCCAAAGTACTTCATTAACTGGTGTCTTTCTTGAGTCGCTAAGGCTTCACCTGTTAATATCATTATGAACGTATCTAACAGTCTAACAGTCAGGGTTTATGAGGCTAGACAAGTTAACTACAGCCTGAAAAGCATGGTAGTAGTTAGTAGTACTGGAAATAAGACAAATCATCATGCCATAAATAGTGTTACAGTTTAAATGTAAAAAATACTTCTCTAGCGCGGGAGAGAGGGTAGATTACGTCATACCGCATTATGCTCAAAAACACTCGACAGAAAAATTAGGTCCTTCTAATGTATTGATGTAAGAAAACAGATTACCCTAAAAATTATCCCACCTTCCGGTTATCGCAAAGAACATTATATTTTGTTTGTGAAGATACAACATCTTACAAGCAGAGCTATCTTTTAAAAATATCACCAAAGGTACCATAGAGGCATAAAAGTAACGGATATGTGAAAAATGAACACTCTCAGCCGTCATTGTTTAAGTTCATTCAGTTTCCAGCCATTCTATTTGTGGTTTTCTTCACTGAATGGCTGTACTAATTTCAGTAACCGGTATGGTTCTTATAGTGATAAATACATCGATAAATGTGGTTTGCAATGTTTATCGTCAACCTGTTAAATAAATAGCTGTAGCAAGTGGTGTGGGAGTCTGAATGACGATGAATGAATACAATATTGGATTATTATATCAGGGTGTCCTTTTGAATCAGGATTACCGCAAGAAGCAGTGTGACCTTTCTGAGCTTCCTTATAAATTAATCGTATCTTCCCAGGGAGTAAGGCAACCCAGGAAACCGAAAGCAGCAGTTCTGATGTAATCAAATTAGGTCAAAGGGGCAGAATGTTGTTTTTTCTCATGAAATAACGTAGTAAGTCTGAAGGTTTTTGCTCATTAGATTATATAAGGGTGAACTGTAATAATGCAAGGAGTTAGGAAGCTTGTTAGGCTAAGGCAGATAATCCCCTATTTTACTGGTACTTTATACTACTGCGTGACGAGAAAATTGCGGACAATATTGTAACATCTGAAACTTATCCTGTGGTCTTTATGCTGATAAAACTCCACCTTTTTCTGGCCAAATACAACCACATGTTACTTATTCTTGTACTTCGAAAACAGCCGCCGAAGGGGCCGAAACGTTGGTAAAAAGTGACTTATATCCTATATATTATTACTCAGAAGGACTAAAACATACAATTACATGCAAATACAAAAATATACAAAGGGGAGAGAATAAGAAGAGTAAGTAGAAAAGATGTTGTACAGCATCGTGTATGCATGGAACAATAGCCACAAAGGAGACGTGTATCAATAGAATACTTAACAAGATCAAAAATATGCTTAGAAATAACAGTAAAATAATAGGGAGCAGGATATATAAATATTAAAAGTACACAATAGACTCGTACACAGGACACAAGCAAATGAAAAGAAGCAAGTGTGAAAACACACAAATAAACAAATGTAAAAATAAATACATGTAGTTTCATTTAGCTAGAAACACTTGAGGTTTTATCCAAAACAACATTTCAATGTTCCATTTACACTGCATTTTGATTTTGGGGCTACTAGGAAGGTCCCGGAACGCTTGTCTTTGTTTTGCGTTCCTTGTGATATTTACTGAGTGAACTTAATTATTAATTGAACAGTTTTTGCTGAAACAATCTTAACCCGTGTTAGGAGAATGAAGCCCATTGCATGTAACGAAAGTATTTATTTGCATCAATCTGACAGATATTCGTTGATAAAAACCAAAAATCGAATAGCGATAAAGATAAGCAGATGTCTGGGCAACAAAATACTAACATTATAATATTATGAGAAAGAGCCAAAATAAGCATGGTTTAGTAAAATATCATGCTACAAAAAATTAACAAGCAGTTTAGGAGACTCATAGGAATGATATAAGGAAATGAAACAGCTACCAGCGATTGTGGTTTAAAACGGACGTAAAATGGTTGAGTGCGTTTAGTGGCTGAAAAGATTATAGCTGAGCTCGAAATATGAGAAAAAATCTAGAGGTTTTAGAATTTTGATTTTCATCACACTGACCGCTTTGTCTGTCAGTGGTGACTGAATTATTTCAATAGCGCCGCGTGCCATCAGGACTGATACTACACACCTTCTCTTGTTGTTTGGTCGATTTATTTAACCTGACGTACAATCTGTTAAACGCACTTACAGCCGTTATACCACGCTCAATTAAAAAATCGCCTACAAAGCCAATTTGATACCTATACCGAAATTTTCTAATCAGACAATATATCGATACACGCCACTGCCACTAAGATATCCACTCTAAAAATCGGAAGATTAAAATTTCTCCATCGTCGAGTTGATTTTACTCTCAGTTGAACACGCGGCTGTCACCCGGTAATCATAGGAAAACAACACGATTTTGGTTTCCGGGGAGGACAGCTAAATTTACTTTTTCGGGTCGCGTTTTTACAAAGTTTTCCGGAAAATCCAACTTCCGTCGTGTAAATGGTTTGGCGACGAAAAGTGAAAATTCACCTGCAACCTGCACGCACTAGTTACATACGATGGAATTCTATTGTTTCTTGAAGACGGTGGTGTGTATTGTCTTTGTCATCGGACCGGCTCTATCCTTGGACAACGAAATTCAAGGTAATATAACGATATATTTTCTCCGTATGTCAAAATTTGATACCAAACAATAGTCTATTTAGGTAATAGTGTGATTGTTCACAATTTATGGAAATAAGTAACTAGTTTTATGACATCAAATCAAATCAAATAATTTATTTGTCGAAACAGCCCATAATAAAAGCCAAAAACAAATACAATTAAAGCCAAATAAATTACAAAACAGCCAGGCATTACATTCGTAGCATATTAGAAGAATAATAAAAAATAGTAGATAAAAAAAATGTTATGATATTCGAAAAAACATCGACACAAAATAAGTTTCAAACAGGTTCAGTATAATCAAAACTTGGAAGAGATGTAACAATCTAACATTTTTAGCTGTTGATCGAGATTATTATTTATTATTATACATATTTTTTGGATTAAGTAAATAGAAATACAACTTTTTTGTCTCTTGAATTTTTTTGGTAGGTTACTTAGTTTTCGAGAAAAAAACTCGACTAAATTGCATATCTCTGGATCACACAAGGAATATGGTGAAAAGTTTCTTTTGGAAATATTTTTTTTCATAAATGTTATTACTAATTATGTTAATGTTATTTTTTATTTAATGTTGTTGTTATTTAATTAGTAATAAAAAATTATACAAAAGTAATTTCCAAAAGAAACATTTTGCGATATTTTTTGTGAAGCCCTGCGATATGCAATTAAGTGAAATTTTTTCTCGAAACCCAAGCAACATACGAAAAAAACCAAGAGACAAATAAGTATTCCTATTAATCCAAAGAACATCATAGCAATTGCACCAGCGTCAGTGGCTAACATTTTTTTGTCGCAAATATTGGTTCATATCTCGTTCGAGACGCCACTGCATGTAATAAAATTAACCAAGTTAGGTTTAAATTGGCTCTTTAATTTCATAAATACTACTGTCAAATCACAACAAAATTAGGTAGAGGATATTTAAAATATTTACGGAAAACTATTTTCTATTTTTCTATCTTGAGAACGAAGAATTAGCGGATCTGCATATGTCTATATGAACTTTTTGCCTTAAAATTAATCAAAGAATTGTCTGTTAAATATATGCCACATACTTAATTAACGTAATTACGTACACATCTATGCGGAAATTTCCTCCATATCTACCATTTTCACCAGGACAAGATTAAAATCCAGCTTTTAATTTCTGGGGCCGAAGATTGTAGTACACTTTTGCCTGGTTTGTGGACATCCAAAAGTAGTTTCTATTTCTTGTGTTGTATTTATGCCCAAGAACTGTAGAGTTTGCTTGTTTTCACTTAATAGCTATAACTGACGAATATCAAGAGTTTTTGATTCTAGGAAGAGTAGGGTAATGACATGCCTTATTAAGTATAACCTTCACAAAGGATTTCTGGTGGTGTCTCTAATTGTTATAGGTACTTACTGTTGCTCCAGCTCAAGTTGTGATGCCACAGTGTAGGAGACTTTGTGTTAATGAAGAAAGTTAAAAGTTTCCGAACTACATGCAAAATAGACTGTAATTGAGATGCATCTCTTTCACTTAATAGCCGTAGGATGGAAAAGACACCCGTCTAAAACAATAATGGTTTTGAAATAGAGGAAAAGTACATTTAAAAAAATACAAATAACCCGACTGCAGTAACTAAGATAAATGAAGATTTAATTGTGCTATCAAGAGAAATCTAGACACATGTCATTTGTCAAAATCCGTCAAGTGGTTCAAGGTGTAGACCGTGACATAGAAATTTCAAGGGTAATTTTTTTATTGAAATCCGAAACTTTGTTATTTAATTTTTTTTGTATACCCAGTGTCACTGGCTCTGTCAAAACAGATCCAGAGACACATCATATGCCAAAATCCATAAATCCGTTTAAGCTGAAGCCTGAAATAGTTTCAACGTTGTTCTTTTCATTAAAGTCCGTCATTTTGTTTTTATAAAATTAATTTTTAATACAGCTATTGTCATCTGCACTGTGACGAGAAACCCAGCGACACCTCATTTATGAGCATCGAGATTTCAAGGTTAATTTCTTTTATTATAATGCGCCATTTTGCTCTGAAATTTCAATATAGCCAGTGTCACATTCCTAAAGCAGATCGAAGGACGTCTCATATGCTAAAATCCTTCATGGCGTTTTGCCTGTAGAACGTGAAATGAAATTTTTGGGATACATACACACATACATACATACCCACTCTTAAATGAAAAACATATCCCTCCTTCTGGGGCAGCAGGGTAAAGAAGAGCTTCTTGCGTGTTAACGGTCTCTCCACGGAGTTATTGGAAACCACTTATTAAAAGAAAAACCGCCGAGACACGTCAAACGATTTGATAAGGAGTAAAACTTTTTAACCAACCAAAAACTACTTCATACCCTTTCACCCTCTGCCCCCCAGGATCAACCTCGAAAAAAGTGACAAGCTTGTTTTGAAAAGTATTTTAAAGTGCTTTATTTTGAATCTTGACTGTTTTGGAATCGGTTTTTTATTTGCAACAGCTCCAGTTTGAGTAAATTGAGTAAGAAGGTCCAAAACATACCTATGTGAAGCTATCTTCCCCGATGTCTAGCGTTAAACGTGTCGGTAGTTTGCGGAGCACATTGATTTTGGGTATCATAAATTAGAATCATTTCCACTCTTTCGGATAGTGGTAGTAAAATCTGAATCATTAGATTAATTTTCACTATCCCAAGATTGTCACAAAGGTAAATGACAGCAAATCTGAAAATTCTATCCCTTAACAACAAACAACTAAGCCGGTATAACAATAAATACAGTTCGCCCAGAATATCTGTGTTGATGAAAAGAATGCGGATTATTCGGGTTGTTATTTGGTTGTTGCCACGTCTAATCTTTCGAATTTCTGTTTATGTCGGTAGTTTCCGTTTTAAATTATAAACAAATTCTAGATTTGGCAAACCTTAACTGGCAACATTTTGAGCACTTATTGAGGTAAAAAGCGATATTTTCGTGAGTGTTGAAATAAATAAAGATTTTTCTAAATTTTCTTGAAAACGAATCGACCAATTTAAAGGAATCAAACGTCAAAATAAAGGACTTCGAAAGACCTTTTAAACAAGCTATTACTTGATACCCCTTGTCGTTTAAAATTTTTAACGGGACGACCCTGGGGAGCAGAGGGTGAAAGGGGGTGAAGTAGTTTTTTGTTGAAAAGTTGTCCCCCTTGACAAACCTTTTAAGGCGTCTTTGCGTGTATTCGGAAAAATTTGGAATCCAATATAACGTACCGTTACCAAGTGACAGCTGCTCGTAATATCACCATGTAATGAAAACAGCTTCATAGAAACGAGTTCAACCATAAATAATAAATGAATGAAGTCGATTTCATTTGTGTAATGTTTTTATTTTCAGCCTATTATCTAGTGTATGGGAAAGTAAAACTATATAGTAATGAAGTGAAAAAGATTTTTTTCAATATCGGAATGTAATTATGAACAGAGTTGTATCTCACCTAGACGCGGATGTTTTTATACTATTTGAATTTAATCCATCCGTTACGCAGTATAGATGAAACCGAAAGAGTTCAATATTCATGAACAAATAATTTTAGGAACTTTCCTTGTTATTTTCAAGTTTCTACAGACAAAAGACCATGCTTTTCTCTTCTGTTTTTCAAAAGATTTAGAAGTATTTTAATTAATTTGATATTCATAGTTTATTTGAGATTCCTTCATAGAATCTCGTGGAACTGAAACGATATCGTAAAATTACTACTTATAATATGAAAGTACATTCAAGATGAAAGTAAATAAAGTTGAATTATTGTTTCGGTTGACCCTTTTCAATATCCATCAACATTTTTGGTTTGTCTCCAGGATTTTACATTTATCAGTGTTGTTGCATAGGTATTTCTATTAAAAAATCCTAGATTCCTACTTCTTGCGATATACAGAAACCTCTACCATCTTCCACCAATTGTCGGGATCACCAGGATTGTATGGAACACACGCACTTTTGTTTTCGCAGAAAAGTACGAATTTAATGTAAAATATCAAAAACTTTCAAACTGACGGCTCAAGCCTGATCGACTTGCGACTTGAACTATATATTTTTGGCAACAAAAAAATTGTATACTTTCTCCTTCTACCTAGTCCGCTTTCGTTGGGTACTACCAACTCTTACGTCGGCAGCAGGAAACTACAGTCTCCCGAGATAACCAGATAACAGCATTTGCTTCTATGATCACAACAAATTCTTGGAAATTGTTAGTAAATATGGATTTGATGGTAAGTCTCTTAAATGGACGTCATCGTTTTTAGTCCAAAGAAACCAATACTTACGCGTACAGATGCAGGGAGCAATATGAAAAAATGTGTGTACGTTATGTTAGACATTTCGATTGGAGTCCCCTCAGGGTTCAATACTCGGACCAATCTTATTACTCTTATAATCAGTTTGATAATATTTATAGATATATTCATTTTACGAAATATGGTGATGACGTTTCGGCTATAATCTCAAAAAATTCAGATATGATTTTGGAAAATAAATGTAACGACTTAACTAGGAAAATCAATCCGTGGTTTAACCAGTGCTCACTATGTTTGAATTCATCCAAAACGACGCTAATTCGTTTCCACCATGCACAAAAAACTATAGAAGGGTTTCAGGTTAGATTGGGTGACGATAAACTTGATTTTAGAGGAGAAACGAGATTTCTTGGACGTAATTTTCATTCGAACTTAAATTCGAAGTCCCACAGCAAATTTTTTATATCAAAGATACACTCTGAAAGCTATAAGCTGAGGCAATTAAAAACCATATTAATAACTAAACAAGTTCATTTTGCTAATGTGGATGCAATATCACGATATTTCTGGAGTTGGTCAATGCGCTCTGAAGATACATTTGTGTCTCAAAAAAGATGCATGCGATCATTGGCGGCGATATCACCAACTGAAAGTTGCAACAAATGTTTTATAGATTCTAACGCTTTAACTGTCTCCGTTGTATATACAGGGTGGCGCATCGAAAACGAAACTGACGCATT